AATAGACCACACCCATTTAATTAAAAGCCACACCCATTCCCATCTCACCAGTACTGTGTGAGCTCATTGTGCTCCCAGTGCTTGCTCGGTGGCCCCGCCCATAAAGATTAGAGAGCCAGTCGTCTTGAAACCCTTCGTCCTCTTCTCCAGTGACCACCTGAGGAAGGTCAAAACCTCTCGTATCAGGACTGAGAGAAAAGAGAAAAAAATTATTAAATTTGCATGTACATGTACATGTATTTGCTTACGCTTTAAAAACGATGTCTCCAGATGTTTGCCGTAAATAAACTTTGACCTTTAAAAAAAGAGACAGAGAGAAAGAGTGAGAGAGAGGAAGAGAGAGAGAGAGAGAGAAAGGAAGAGATTATAATTATTTTTATAATACAGATGTGCAATCATCATAAACTCCTGGTGCTATACATGGCATCAATTAACATCAATTACTAATATGGCAAAATAACCAAGTGTTGAGTAGCTGAACTAAACTAAACACACACTCATACTAAATACATCATAGTACAATTAATACATGTACATGTACAGTACATGTATTACTGAATGGGCAAGGGAAAGAAACAAGAGAGTGATGGCAAACAAAAGGCTAATGGGAATTATAAGAGGAAAAAGAAAGGGGATAATACTATTATCATTATTATTATCATATTATAGCTATCACTGTTTACCTTTAGTACAGAATTGTCCAGTTTGTGTTTATTCTCATTGTAGCTTTGCAGTAAATACTTCCCTGGCTTAGTGCCAGCTCCAGCATATTCAGCAAGATTGATCTTTACGAAACCAAGCTAAAGAAGAAGGAGGGAGAGGAAGAAAGAGGATATGAGAATTAGACGTCACAAATTCAAGGGAAGGAAGAAGAGTATATGTAAGATAATGATCATTACACTGAGAATGCATTTAAAATATTTCCATCATAAGATCACCAATAAATTATGCTATGCACACAGAATGATTGAGCAGCAATAAGGCTCCATAAGGGACACTCATAAAAGGTAGAAATATGCCAATAGCAATTCCATTAATGACTTTAACAAAACTAGCAATCATAACGACACACTTATTAGCATAGCAGGAACAAGTTATGAAAACTGGTAAGACATCTACAAGTACAAGTACGTGTGTACTTATGTAATTCCGACACTATTGGCTATCCTTAATTTTTTAAATATAGACATGTCCTCATTTTACATGTACATGTAATTGATAAATTGTACTGATTAGGACATAAAAAATCAGAGGAGTCTTTAATAATTAATACAGAGGTACATATACATGTATATTTGAGTTCCATTGTCCATTAAAAAATTAATTTAAAAATAAAGAGAGAGTATGTGGCTGAGACAAGTGGAGTAGAAGAGACAAAGGAGGAGTAGAAGAGACAAAGGAAGAGTAAGGAATTGCAAAGTGGCAGGCATTGTGTAGTACTAGTCTACTACTAATTTTATTATTATTAAAAATAAATTAATAATACTGTAGGAAATTAGTACACACACGTTCAATGCATACTATACAACTAATTTACGAACAAATGTAGTTTTAAGCATTATGATTTATTGCTACTATTTAATAGTAAAAAAAAACTACAGACAAATTGGCAGCATGTACAGTACATGTACAAATGTACAATGTACATGTACATGTATACTCATCATTATAACATTGTACATTGTCAGAAAAATTATCATTAAAAGATATGATCATTAACATCTTAACACACACAAAATCACTTGAATCATTGCCAATGGGGATGACTGGCGACTACGTGTACATGTACATGTATATGTACGTGTACATGTACATGTACATGTATGGTGTGATTAGAAAATGGCTTCAAACAGTAAACAAATGTGTGTATGGAAGACATGATAATGTGTACATGTATGAGAGTACTCTTTGTGTGGTTGAACTAACCTTTGTAAATGTTCTTCCTCCTTTACTTTCCTGAGAAAAGAGACAGAGGGAAGGAGAGGGGGGAGGGAGAGAGAGTGAGAGAGAGAGAGAGTGAGAGAGAGAGAGAGTGAGCGAGACAGAAAAAAGGGAGAGGTGGCTAAAAAGACACATCTTGTTGATGAAATGACTTGCAAAGACAAAGCAACTACATCAACAGCCAAGCAGACTAACAAATACTGCCCATACTGCAATAGACATCATACTATCAAGGCTATTATGACGTGTACCAAACTTTCCTTATATAACACAACAAAATTAATTTATTATAAATCCCAGTAGGACACTCCCAAGACCATACACCATTACAGTTATAAGCCACAGATTCAAAACACCAAACATGACTCCACAGTCCACAGGTGTTTATGAATAACTGTTTACTGAAGCAGTTTAAGAAGGATTAGATTGGTCAGATTAAATACACAATGTGTAGATAAGGAGAAGAGAACAAGCAAATAATGATATGGTAATTATACTGTTTGTTTTGCTAAATTAAACGTGTTTTGCATACATTTACGATCGCTTGTGTACCAAACAGAAAGGAAAGAGAGAAAGAGAGAGGGAAGACATTTTACTTTTCTGAGCGATATCTTGCACCAGGCTGGTTCCAACACTCCAGAGGTTGCATTCACGTACATTTTACAAGTGAAGTTAAAGTCCTGGTCCCAAATCACACGATGATTCTCAACGTCATTCCTTATGAAAGAAAAGGGAAAGTTTTATGCATGCAACAAAAGGTGATAGTTGGTGTCACAATTGTGGTTTTTAGAAACAATTAAAATAACAAGACCATTAATGTATATGTACATGTACCTACCTATCAGATGCTTCACTGAAGTTCCCCCCGTCCTTGAGCTGTATTTTAGCATAGAGGACTCCAGTGAGGAGCGTACAGTTGATGAGCTCTTGCAGGGTAAAGGTTACATCAAAATGGAGCTTCTTCCTCGGGCGGAGAGAGAGCGGGAGGGAATTGATGGTTGAGGTGAGGCCCGTGAAACTTAGCTTCTTCGAAGACATGGCGTCTTAGAAACAAGCACAGGGGAGAGAGAAGAGAAGAGGAGCTTTTGCTTAGAGCGTGACTGTCATATCCAGTGGTTCATGTAAATGTAATATACAAATTTTACACACCTAGCCACGCCCATCGATACGGACCAAATAGACGGAGTAGTATACGGATATTAGGCATAGACATCAAGAATACGGAAAAGTTTTAATTAATTTGGAGTATACGGAATATTAAAAGACAATGGTAATCATTTTCTAAATAATTATTTGTTATTAATTTATTGTTTCAGGCAACATTGAGTGATAGGATTTTTGGAGGATCTCTAATTCTTCTTGCATTAGCCATTTTTACTTATTACACTCTCTGGGTAGTCATTCTTGTAAGAAAAATAATTATTAATAACGTCACATTATATTTGTGATGTAGCCATTTTTAGATCCTGATCACTTCCTGCACAGTTTCTTTCTTCCTCCAGTGTACGCCATCACTCTACCACTGGGAGGGATCGCTGCTTTATTTGTATTAGTTGGTAAGAGAAACAACCACTAAAATTAGTACCATTACCCATTAGAAAACACACCATCACCCATTAAAATTATGCACTTTGATGCTTACAATGTACCTCTCTGTTATACATATCTTGTTTTATGGGTGTAAATCTTGTAGATTAAATAATAGATTAATTTTATCAAAATCAACAATTAAATTTTAAACTAATCTAAATCACATTTTCTAAATCATTATTCTGTTCAGTTCATCAAGGCTTGGCCTTTGCTTTTTCTTTCAATCCCAACCCGTCCATTTTTTTATCAAGGCCTTCCAACCTGTCCATTATTTTAGTAGGGTCAGAGACATCATCTTCTCTTCTGAATACTAGCGTTAAATGAGTAGCGATTATTTTTTCGTGCATTTCTTTATATCCTACATGTTTATAGCCTCTTTGAAGAATCAGTTTAATGATATTTTTGTCATAACCAAGATACTTGTATCCATATATAACGGTTTCTCCTGGCCTCTCTCCTAATATATTTTCAAGCTTATATTTTTCAATGTAATCCTCATGGGTGCTTATACCAATTACCAAGATATTATCAATGTCTTGTTTCTTTGCCATATGTTTCATGAAGCACTGGATCAAGACTGCAGTAGTACGACTAGAGGTATCAGACCATGGGCACTGGAACCACACCACTTTTCCAGCTACTAGGTCTTTTGCAACTTTTAAGGCAGTAACACCATCTTGCCAGGTATCAGAGAAATTACAAACTTTTGAAACCTTTGTAGTGTTAATTCTTATATCTTTAGTGGATAATCCCATTTTTTCTCCATTAACTATGCAGTATTCTTCAGCTTCTTTCCTTGCATCAGCAAATTCGGGTCGTTCTACATGCCAACAAGTTGCTTTGATTCCATAGTCAGGTGAGATTTTTCCACTAGACCAATCATCCCGAATACTAGCGAGTGCTATTGTAAAAGTGAAGTTACCCTCACCAAATAGCACAATAGGTTTAGGAGCCACACCAACACCTCCAAGTATATCATTCTTGAAACGTTGAGCTTCAGGAGGCTTAAGTTCAGGACCTAGATCTATATCCCCTTCGTGAGATTCAGGTGAAGCTCTCGTTGCCATATTGTCCGGCTCTGATATCTAAATGAGTGAATATGGAAAAGAAATGAGAAGAGTCGCTGCAGGAGTAGCTTTAAGCGCTGAGTCACCGGAGGCAGGAGTGGATAACTCTGGAGCTATATTCTACATAATAATACATTATATGTACATTATACTTATGTAATGTTAAATACCCACCCTTATACCCCAACTTACCTCTTGATAATGATTACATGTCTCAGGTGGTGCGTTGTTTAGATAGGAATGATTATGAAATGCTCCAGGAGGAACTTGTTTAGAGAGGTGCGTACTGCATAGCAAAGTACTCAATACACCTGTAAACAATGGAGCTTTAGAATATATACAACTTTAATGGCTAAAACAGTTAAATTTAAACACATAGAATATTTTCACAATAAGATACAGTATCACAAAAATACAGAACAGTAAAACAACATGGAATTTCTCTCTACCAGTTTTTGTGTATGATACTAAACATAACAGTGCAGCTGTCAACTAATCATGTACCAGTACATAACCAAGTCTTATCTGATTCCCTATTACATGTATACCATAATGGTGGGGTTTAGAGGTTAGCAATTCCCAGAATAACCCATATTTATAAAATGAATTTCTACTGATCAGCCATCTTCTACTGTATTAAAGTTGATTTCCTTTAAGTTAATTTTGCAAGCCTTACAACAAAAATTTACAAATCCATGAAATCTGTTGTCCTCATAAAACTAACCATACTGTAATAAGGACACCCTGAGATAAGGTCACCTCTAATTTGTAAATGCATGAAGATACCCTGGGTTCCTTTGCATTCAGCATCTTTTGTATCAAACACAAAGAATTATAGCATATAACCATACATACCACCATCACCCACTACAATAAATGCCATCATATGAATATACAAGTGTATCCATGTGATTGGAATGTGACTGTAATTAAAGTACGTGTGTCCATTAGCAGTAATTTGGTGAGTGGGCAGTTCACATACAGCGTAGTATAGTACTTGTATATGATTAAAGGCATGACGAGGTGGTTTTGGCATGTTAGTCATTCACATTATTTTCCCTCATTATAGTACGACTATTTGTATTTAGGCTGAAAGAATGTAGCCTCTTTATTAAGGACACCATTGGGCCCACACTACCTGTCCTTAATACATGTACAGTGTAGCCTCTTTATTAAGGACACCATTGGGCCCACACTACCTGTCCTTAATACATGTACAGTGTAGCCTCTTTATTAAGGACACCATTGGGCCCACACTACCTGTCCTTAATACATGTACAGTGTAGCCTCTTTATTAAGGACACCATTGGGCCCACACCAACTGTCCTTAATACAGAGATGTCCTCATTTCAGAGGTACTTTTGTATAGGCTTGTACCAATTGGAGTACGTGTTACAAAAATTTAATCATGATATAACAGATGGCATATTAGTTGGGAAATGGTTACACTCCTCTCCCTTTCTTTGTGCCTCTATTTCCTCTGAATAGTCAAAA